CGTACACACACACACACACACACACACACACACACACACACACAAGCCTGATTCTAGTAGTCTTTGAGTTAAAATAACCAATTATGGGGCCGGCAGGGGGCGTGGTGGTGAAGGTGCTGGATTCCCACATGGCCGACCAGGGTTTGAGTCTCAGGCCTGATGGCTTGCTTCCTCATTTTCCATCTCTCTCTCTCTCTGGTCAAATTAAATAATAATAATAATAATAGTAATAAATAAAATGAAACAAATCATTTTTAAAAAATTAAAAAGTTCTGGGACCAGAAATGGCCCATTACGGAAATAGCATAATGGTTACATTACTGGACATTACCGCACTACGTGGACTCCCTCGTAGCTGACTGCGGTTTGAGTCCTGGACCCGGCAGCTTCAAACTCACGCCGGGCACATGTGCATGCATGCCCAAAATTCTGAGAGGAGAATGGAGGAGAAGGGATCGTGGCATGGCCATCCCCCCGGGAGGGTGATTTCTCACTTTCCCTCTCACTACCTCTGTCTGTCTCCCTCTCTAGTGAGCACACGCACCCTGAAGCAAAAATCTCTTAAAAAAGTACTAAAAAAAAAAGCAATTTTGATTCAACATCCACTTCCAAAGTCAGCAGAAATTGCGATAACTGAAGACATCAGCAAACCAAGGCCGCCAACCTGGAGGTCAGCGGGGACAGGGTTCCCGGAAGATTAGGGTACTGACTGCCCACCCCTTCCTGGGAAGATGACGCACAATGAAGGAACTTTGTCCTGGATTTCTTCTTCTTTTTTTTTTTTCTTCCTTAAAGAATTTTATTTATTTATTTATTTAAATTTGACGAGAGAGAGAGAGAGAGAGAGAGAGAGAAAGACAGACACAATGAGGAGGAAAATGAGAAATAACCCTCCAGGGGGGTGGCCACACCCTTCTCCTTTCTCCTTCCAGGATGGCTCCCAACGATTTACTGGATTTCATTGAAAGCATTCTACAGGCACCAGCTGGTGGCATGGTGGTTAGGGTGGCTGGATCCCACATAGCCAACAGCGTGGTTCATGTCCCAGACCCATTGGCTTGAAAGACACGCATGTGCATGTGAGCACGTGCCTCAAATCCTGAAAGGTGGGAGAGACGGAGGAGGTAGAATTGCGGCGTGACTGTCCCCCATGGGGGTGCTTTCTCATTTCCTTCTCTCTGTCCCTCCAGTAGCACACAGCCCTGTGTAAAGATACACAGAGGGACCAGCAGATGGGGTAGTGGTTATGTCTCTGGACTCCCACGTGACCAACTTCGGTTCGAGTCCCGGATCCAGTGGCTTTAAACTCCCCCCACGCATGGGTGTGTG